TTCTTGTTTCGTATTGATTCTAGCACTTTTCCTTAATTTTGTTGTCGGCTATGTGTGTGTTTAGACTTGAAGGAGATCGCCTCGCTTATCGAGGGCGGTTCCTGCTCCAAGGACGTCCGCCGCATTGCTCGTGCTGTTCACCTCACGGTTGGGCTGAGGCCAAAGCTAACGGCACCTCTGCTCTCTGCATTTATTGATTTCGCGCTGCCTGTAGGTTCTGAAGCTCATTCCAGATTATCTACTTATCTTCGCAAGGTGAAAATCTGAACATACGACTCTTTTTTGGTGTGTTATTTGAGTGTTGTTCAGGATTGGTTGTTAAATTTACATATATCATGCTTTGCTAGACAGTATGTAAGTGTGTGAATAAGTAGCAAGTTTCTTCTTGTCAGTGGAGTTTGGATACTGCTGTAGTTGTAATACTCGATAAATTGGCCAGGAATTGTTATTCTTGTGATATGGAATACTTCATCCTCTGACTACACAGAATTTAGGAAAAGTTTCTCTCGTGCTTGGATTTATAGTTTGTTATCTGATTATCTTTGCTTCATTTGGTGCATGGGTAATTATCATTTGTTTTAGCATCATGATGACAGGGGCTATTTCTAGCTAGGAATAAAAGGAAGTTTTTTCTAGAACATATGAACAATTTGATAGGGTATTCAAATGATGCACTCAAATTATCCTTTCAGGCATTATTCTCAGATGGCAATGTTGATACACAGACTTTGAATTGTTGCGTATTTAATCCTTGTATAAGGTTTTGAAACCATAAAATTTGCAAGGTTAATGGGTCCCTTTCACACAAACATCTATTTTCTTTGGCCAAGCTTCCTTGCACAAACTGCTTATCCTCTATGTCTCATACTCTTTGATCTTCTGTGTCAATGATTATAGGAAGATGAGCGTGAGATGGAAGTTGATTCTGCAACATCAGCCTGGCAGACTCCAACAAAGCTTCCATTGCCAGAGATTGAGATATACTGCTATTTGCTTGTTCTTCTTTTTCTTATTGATCATAAAAAATATGATGAGGTCTGATTTGCTTTTATTGTTTTCTCATTTCTGTTCCCCCAAGGGACCAACTCCCACTCCTGCCTATTTTTTCCTTTGTTATTTTCCTTCAGGCTAAAGCCTGTGCTTCAGCAAGTATTGTTCAGCTCAAGAACCTAAACAGAAGAACTCTTGATGTTCTAGCATCTAGACTCTACTTCTATTACTCATATAGCTATGAGCTCGCAGGTGATCTTGCTGAAATTCAGGGGTAAGTATTCATAGCCTGTTGTTTTCCTTACTAATCCTCTTGGGTTTGTTGTTGTTGTTGTTGTTGTGTGTGTGTGTGTGTGTGTATTATTTGTGTTCTCTATTATCAGAAAATTTTCTAATCTTGGCTCATGATGGAAAGGGCAGGAATCTGTAGTTGTACAAGAGTGTACTATTTTACCTAACCTTTTGTTGCATTTTTATTTTCAGCACCCTCCTTGCCTTGCATCATATTGCTACATAGCATCATGATGAACTTGGTCAGGTTTGTTATCTGTTAGTTTAGATGTTCATTCTTCAGTATTCTGGATTTCAGATCTGATATAATGGAATAAAATGCGCATGCAGGAAACACTTCTCAACTTGTTGTTGCACAATTACCTCCACTACAATCTATATGATCAGGCAGAGAAGTTGAGGTCTAAGGCACCACGTTTTGAAGCTCACTCAAACCAGCAGGTAGGAATGGTATTCTCTGCCTTTCAAACTGTGACCCTTTTGGATCACCTATGGAACAAGTTAATCATGGAAAAACAAAAGTAACCTCTTTTATGGATTGGAAATTATGTCTTGATATATTGTTACTTAAATAATCTTTAGAGGGAGGTAAGCTCATTTCTTCACTGATATTAAGCCTCACATGTTTGGAGAGGTTACGTTTTGCAACTGTCCTCTTATGCCCGTAAGCTGTTATTGCATGTTTGCAAGGCAGCATGTAAACCTTATCCTAAGAAGATTATGGAGACTGAAGGATAGCCGTTCAACATGTCTTGTTTCAAGGGTCATTCTCTTGTTACATGGTGGTCTATAATATATTATTCTTTGCCATTTTTGGGAGTTTATACTGAACTGAAAATGGGCCTGCCTGATATCCAATATTTTGTTCTGCAGTTTTGTAGGTATCTTTTCTACCTAGGTAAGATTCAGACGATTCAGTTTGAATACACAGATGCAAAAGAGAATCTGCTGCAGGCTGCTCACAAAGGCCCTGTTGCTGCTAAGGGCTTTTGAATTCAATGTGATAAGTGGGACTTCGAATTCAATGAGAAATTCCTGAAAGGAAAATATTTGTGCACAATGGAATGGAGAAGGCTTTGAGGCCATACTTTGAACTCACAAATGTGAGTTGATCCTGTTCTTTCTTTTTTCAAAAAAAAAAAAAGTAATTTTATTTATTTATTTATTGGCTTATAAGCACTTTTTTCTCTTCTAAGTTTAAAAATTGTTGGAAGGAAATGTTGCATTTTAAAGTGCTTATAAGCAAGTTATAAAGAAGTTACTTTCAGATTTGTTACTTTACTATTAGCCGATAGTATAACAAATGGGTTAAACTTCTTGAGCTTGATTACTGTGCTCAGAAAGGGACTTTCTGATTTTGGAAGAAAATTACAATAACTTGTTGGTTCAATTTTCAGGCTGTTTGGATTGGTGACTTGGAGCTCTTCAGAACTGTTGCCCAGAAGTTTTCTAGCACTTTCAGTACGGACAAAACACACAATCTGATCATCCGATTGTGACACAATGTCATCAGGACTGGAGTACGCAACATCAGCATCTCTTACTCACGCATTTTGCTGGCTGATGTTGCTGAAAAGTTGAGACTGAACTCAGCAAGTCTAGTTGCATTTGCTGAAAGCATTGTAACCAAGGCCATCCATGATGGCACAATTGATGCCACATTGGATCATGCAAATGGTTGGATGGTATCAAAAGAGACTGGAGACATTTATTCTACAAATGAACCTCAACTCGCCTTCAACTCCAAGATTGCCTTCTGCCTTAACATGCACAATGAAGCTATTTGTGCTTTGCTATTTCCACCAAATACACGGAAGGAGAAGGAAAGTGCAGTGAAATTGAGAGAAAGACGACAGCAGGAACAAGAACTTGCAAAGCATATTGCGGAGGATGATGACGAGGATGATTTTTAAGGACATGGACTCGTGATTTCAGCCTTCAGATATGTAATTCCCTGTCATCTATTGTTTCTTTTTCAGAAAGCTAGCTCATATTCGAAATTCTGTGTGTATCTTACTTTTTGAACTGATATTAATGCAGAATTTTACTTATATCTATGGTAGTTGATAACCCATCATATAATTTCTACATTACTTGTTCTGCATCAACACTACTTATATTACTAATACATGATTTGAGTCACATGGTATGCAAATAGCCTTAGTAAAAAATGAGAAAATGTTGTCTTCTATTGAGAAAAAAAAAAAAAAAGAAAAAGAAAAAGAAAAAAACAACTACTTCTATTAATGTGGGTCGAAAACTCAACCATTTAGGGAATTTTTCATTCACTCATCATCTCAATGATGAATCATCCACGTTGTAAAGACTGCAATGGTAGTACCCCCACTTCTGACTTCTGTAGTTCTCTCCTAGCTTTCTTTTACATGGTATGATCCCAATCATTTAGTCCCCTTTATTCTATACATTGAATTCTAGGGAATTTCACATTCCTTATCTATATCTTGATTTAAATCAAATCAGTTACCCTTTTTCTTCAAGTGTGAATGTCTATAACTGGATTACAAAACTTGAGAAAACTTCATATCATTGCCGACTTCTTTTTAATTCTTTCCCCCGTTGATTATTCTTGGCCAGTTGTTCACCAATTACTTGTAGAATTTTTGGGTTTTAAATTATTTTAGAGTACATGAACCATGCGCATGAATCCTTCCAATATTGATTCTAGTCCCCGGTGGCCTTGCTTGACGGTGGTGCTAACATCCTCACATGGGCTCAAAATGGTACATCGCAAGGAAAACATTTTTATTTTGCTTGACCAAAAATACAGAATTATTGAAAAATCGATTTAAAACACAACTTAGTTATAAAGAAATCAATGATTAGGAGCCATGAATGAGGAAGCATTATTTCATAAGTTGAAGCACAAACTAAAAATCAAGTACTGATACAAGAAAAATGGTTTGTGCCCTTGTAATCGTGAATAGATAATGGAGTAAAAGAGGTCCAAATCAACAACCATGATAGGGAGGGTACCTTTAGGACCGAACCCTTTGTACCAGCAGATCACAGACAATGATTAGAATGTTTAACAACACCAAATCGCCCTATCCTCCTCTCATTTTGTCAAAATGGGGCATGTGCGTTACCTAAAAACACGACGCCATTGTTTCATGTGGGTCAAAAAAAAAACCCATGTGAGCTTCTGTTCTGTGATCTAAGCAAAACACACCATATCCCATACAACAATTGGAAAATGTCGTTTTATCTTCAAATGGAAACAACCAAACCCCATTAAAGTAATGCAAAAAACAACAATTTGGGTCGTGGTTTTTGATCCATTCACGGCTTCTCTGTAGGGAGAAACCATGTGGAGGTGGAAGAAGAGAGAACATGGAAATAATTGAATGAGGCTCTGAAATCTTCAGTCTTTGTTTGCAGGAATAATTCAATGTTTTAAAAATTGAAAAAAGAAAATATTATTTTAGTTTTCAGTTCCTTTCTGTCTGCGGGGATCACATGTGATGTTGTTCATTGATAAGTTCAGTTCCCTTATTTAAACACCCACCTCCTCTTCGGAGAAATGCCTGTGAATGTAGATACATTTCTTTCCTATTCTCCTCCTCTCCTTCTTCCTCCTTGTTTGGCTTCTGAGAAACAAAAAGGAAATGGCAAATTTTGCTTTAGCAATCTTTCTTGAATTGTGTTTTCTTACTATGAGTGTCAGAGCATTTACCGCTTCTGGATGGACCAAAGCTCATGCCACTTTCTATGGAGGGAGTGATGCCTCAGGAACAATGGGTATGTTTCAATTTTTTCCTTCTTCATTTCTGGTCTTTTTGTTAATTTCATCATTAATGAAGTCTTGATCGCCAAACAGGGGGAGCTTGCGGGTATGGGAACTTGTATTCAACTGGGTATGGCACTAGGACTGCTGCTCTTAGTACTGCATTGTTCAACGATGGAGCTTCTTGTGGGCAATGCTACAGAATCATCTGTGATTATAATACAGACCCCACATGGTGCATTAAGGGAAGATCCATCACCATAACTGCCACAAACTTCTGCCCTCCAAACTATGCTCTTCCCAGCAACAATGGAGGCTGGTGCAATCCTCCCCTCCAGCACTTTGACATGGCACAACCTGCTTGGGAAAAGATTGGTATTTACAAAGGAGGAATCATCCCCGTTTTGTACCAAAGGTATAGTTCACCTATCTTACATGGGCACAGAATCAGCTAAGGTCTTCTTGAAGTACATTAATTAAAACACCAACCGTCAGACAGGATTAAAACTTTAAGAGTGTTTGATAAATGTTAAGCAAATGTCAGTTTTGGATGTGTAATGATGTTATGTTCCTAATGTTTGTGGTGATTTTGCTGCAGGGTTCCATGTAAGAAGCATGGTGGAGTAAGATTCACCATCAATGGAAGAGACTATTTTGAGCTTGTTTTGATTAGCAATGTGGCTAATGCTGGATCTATCAAATCTGTATCCATCAAAGGCTCTAAAACTGGCTGGATGGCAATGTCAAGGAACTGGGGAGCAAATTGGCAATCCAATGCCTATCTCAACGGACAATCCTTGTCCTTCAGAGTCACCACCACTGATGGAGAAACCCTGGATTTCCTGGATATAGCCCCAGCGAACTGGGCATTTGGCCAGACCTTCTCCAGCAAAGTACAGTTCTAAGGGCTATGGTATCAGCTTTAGGTTTTGGGGTTCAGGGTTTCATGACTTCGAACTTAGGCAGAGGCGTGCTTGTTATTTATTAGAGCTGCCCGCCAGATGTATCTTATGTTCAGATTTTCCAAAATCAGGCTGTTTTCTCTAATTTTGGTTAATTAAGATCATGGAACGGAACCCTTGTACTCAAGGCTGCTGCATAAATGACTTTTGTTCTGTTTCTTGAGCTGGAAAAGGGAGAAGCTGTACAAAATCTGGTTAGTATTGATATTGTTCTCATGACAATAAGAAGCACAGTAAATTTGCAGCTTCAACATTTGTAAAATTTTAACTAATTTACAAAATTTTATGGTTGTAATAGAAAGTGTTTGTTATCTATTGTTGTACGGAATACTGCCATATTGAAGATAATAAAATACATTCAAACATTTCTTGCTTTTATCCAACACCGTTAATTTCTTTTTCCTTTTTGGTTTTTCCATCCTACATTGGAACATTAATTTTATATTTTATTAAAATCATAATGGAAGCGTTTGTTAGTCCATGTAAATGTAATCCTTTAGACTAAATTTTCACAAGTCCAAAAACTATTAAATTCCTTTTTTTTTCCCCTTCATTTGGATGATCAATGTGATTCTAGCAGTGGGAAATCAAGATTCAACTAAAGGTAGGGCATTTTATTTTTCTGAAGTTGAGTTTAAACTC